CTGCGGGGCACCCGCCCCTCCCGCCGGCCCCGGCCCGAGACATAAGGTTCCACCTGCCCCTCCTCTCCCCGGGTCCAAAGTTGGCCCCCAGTGCTGAGTAGCTGCTTCCAGGAGGGCACGGCCCGGCAAGGGATGCGGGGCTGGCGGTGAGCCTGGAAGACTCCTGTCCAGAGGCCGCTGGCGGGAGAGGAGTCGACCCTCTGGCTCCTTGCGGGGAGCTAGGGATTTGGGTACCGAGCTGGGGAAGGAGGGTGGGTGAGCCGGCAGAGGACGGTTTGGGAGAGCCTGCCCGCGGTATTAGGGAGGAGGAAGTGTACAGACCTCGCCTGAAAATGAGCTTTTGGGGGTCTGGAAATGAGTTTTTGCTAGAGTGTGCAAATGTGTGCTCATCCCCGAGTGCCTCTCAGTCCCCCCAAGCGCAGAGTTGCGCATGCTCCTAAGGGTGAGCAGGTGTGCTGTGGTGGTGCAAATGTGCACTTGCTGGTGACTTCTCACTGCCGCCTTGTCCCTTCCTCCCCCTCTGCAATAAATCCACCTCCTCTGCAGTGGATGAGTACTTGCCAGCGGTCATCCTCAGGAGATCCAAGAGTGTGTTTTCCGGGAGAAGGGAAGGGAGCGTCTAGAGACCACTTTGAGAGGGCTGAAGGGAGGGCCTTGATTTCTCTACCCTGCCCCTGCTAGAAAATTTCCCTAAGCTGCGGCATCGGGCCCCAAGACTTGTCAGGACCATTGCTAAAGGCAGAGAGAGGTATCAACCAGAGAATGGCTCCCTTAGAAGCCGCCTCTGAGAAAAAGGAAGAATCGGTGGCCAAGGACCTCCTCTCTCCCCTGAGGGAGGATTTCTCCAAAAGAGGAAGCAGGCATGTATATGTGCATGCCACGTGTATGCCTGTGACCACCCATCTCCAGGGTGGCTCCAGACCTAGAGATTAGCCTCCCACAGTGATGGAGAAAACAAACCCCCTTTTGGGGCCTCTGGTTTTGAATTGGGAGTAGGGAGATTTGCAACTAGACACTTCTTGAAAGGAGACACTCAGTTTCGCAAGTGAGCCCTCTCACCCAGCACACACCTTTGGCTGGCTGGGCAAGGCACTCAGGCATGCAACCACAGGCACCAGGCAACACCCCTCCATTACCCACCGTAGGCCCCCCTCCCCAGGCAGCGGTTCTTCCTTCCCAGGAATCTCTCCTCCCCTCCCTTCCTCCTCCTCAGCCCCAGTGCTCGCTCCCTTCCAGCCCCCATCACAGGACAGTTATTGTGGAGAGAGCAGCCTAGCACTCTCAGGACCAGAGAAGGGAAATTACTTGTCCAGGCAGAGGCAGATCTAAAGCCTGGGCTTCTAAATTTTCAGGCCAGTGCATTAACTGGGATTAACTGAGATTAAGTGAGATGATGCATGTAAAGATGCTGTGTGAACTGTAATTCCTTATACCATTATCACACATTATTGAAATCATTTCATTACTTCTGCTTCATGGGATAAGAACTCAGAAGGAGCCTGACCCTTGGCCTCTTCACCTCCTTTAGTTGGTGGTCAAAGCAAAGGAGAGCCCTGGGAACCCCAAGGTGCAGGCAGAAGATGGGCTTGGGGCTGGCCCCATCCTGGTCCAGCTTCTTAAACTCTCCGGACCTGAGTGCACCCTGACTCTTCTGTCCTTTCCTTCCTCCCACCACCTGCTGTATAGCTAATGTAAGAGACACACCTTGAGTCCCTTTTTCCATCTTCTCTGTTGCCTCCATGCTTTCAAGGCTTTTATCTGTGTCTGTCCCACAACACGCCAAACACCCACTGTGCATTGGACTCGCCAGTCCCTTCCTGCCTTCTACTCCCTTTAGAGATGGACTGTGTGAGAGGAACATCTATGTAATGGTGCACACCTTTGTATCTATGTCTTTTTTGTCTTCCTTGACCAAAGCTCCCTTTGGGATCAGAAAAAGTCTGCCGTGGGCTATAAGTGCTGTAGAGATGATTCTCCCAAACTTCCTATAGAGCTGGTGACAGCCATCTAGCCTCATTACTGGGGGAGGGGTCAAGTCAGAGACCAAAGTGACCTCCAGGGCTGTATTCCTAGCTGAGTGTCCTTGCTCTGGAAGTTTAAAGACAGCAAGGCATTGAGTGAGAAAAGCCTGAATGTGTCTCAGGCACCTTGTCCCACCCCACCTCACCCCAACAGGTCCGTCTGGAAATTGCTAAGAATTTCTCTCTATGTCTGTTTCGCTTCCTGGATTTCATCTCCCCCACCCCAAAATAAATGTGAGATTCCTATCACCTCCAGCCCAGATTGGGGTCACTAAGGTCAGAGGTCAAAGCAGGATTCAAAGTGATGGGACACAAACATCTCTTGTGTCCTGGCCTCTGGGCTGGGCACTTTAAGTGCATTAGCTTATTTCATCCTCCTAAAACTTCGGGTAAGATAGGGAATAATGGCTCTCAGCCATGCAAGGTTTTATTATTTCCAAAGCAATCCCTTATGTGAGATGGGCAGAACGAATACAGTCATGTGCCACATAATGATGTTTAGGTCAATGACTGACCGCATATATGACGGTGGTCCCATAAGATTATAATAGAGCTGAAAATTTCTACTAGTGACATTGTAACCATTGTAACATCGTAATATCATAGCTCAACACATTACATGTTTACAGTGATGCTGATGTAAGCAAATCTACTGTGCTGCAAGCCTATAAAAGTATAATACATACAATTATAGTAGTAGGCTATACCATCTGGGTCTCTGTAAGTTTACTCTATGATGTTTGCACAATGACGAAATCGCCTAAAAATGCATTTCTCAGAATGTAATCCTTATTGTTAAGTGGCACGTGACTGTACTGTTCTTTTATAGATTAATAAACAGAAACTAAGAGACTAAAGTCACACAGCTCTAAAATAGTGGAGCCAAGACTCGAACTCAGGTGTTTTTATTCAAAACCCCATGACCTTTCCACTCAGAAGCCAAAGGAGACCAAGTCTGGTCTGAGGCAAGTCGTAGGCCCCTCTTGGAAGCCCCTGGCAAAAACCAGAACATGAAACAGTACCTATCCAGCCCAGCCCACTGACTTGTGGTGGACACAGGGCCTTGGGGAGGGCTGAGGCAGGGCAGGGAGAAAAATGACAACATAGGGTGGTTTCTGCACTTGAAAAGTAGCCATTCTGGAGGAGGGTGGAGGTCAGACACACCCCAAACCAGACAGAGGCCAGGCAGCATAGAGGCAGGTGAACAGGCCTCCAGGTCCTCAAGTTGGAAACAGAGAGGCCTTGAGCTAAGGGGAAAAGATGGCTGAGCTTGAGGGGGCAGGTAGATAGGCCCAGGTCCCAGCAGCATCCATTCCCATATTCCCACTTTGTGCCAGATGACTTCGTACTTGTAAATATCACTTTGATGTTGTTTTGTATCTTTAAGCTGTGATTCTGTATATATGCAATGCCTCCCAACTAGACTGTAAGCCCTTTAGGGACAGCGCTCCTTCCAGTTCTTGGATGGCCTTCTCCTGTCTATCTTCCCTCATCTGTCTTGTCTAGCACAGTGCTCTGCAGATAGTAAGCTTAATAAATGCTCATTTGCCAATAAGTGCTATTTCTTCCACAACTTAGAAATGGTCGATACAGTCCAAGGTACCAGAAGACAGACTGGGGTCTCTGGCATGTCCTGTGTTCCCCAGAGCTACTGTTAGGAATGGTGCAAAGGGAATACAATGCTCAACTAATTGGTGGCAAATTCTAACTGTCAACCTGGCCAGATGAGCATCCAGGGGGTGAATCAGGTGGCATCATGGAGAGGGCATGAAGACATGGGCAGGCTGTGTGGCCTGCAGACAGAGCAATGAACAGCCCCTTTTGGTCCCCTTGTGATGGCTTAGCACTGTGTTGGGAAGTCAGGGTAGGGGACCTTCAAAGTCTGGGACAACACCAAACACTCAACATGTCTGAAACTGACTGCCTGCTCTTCTCCCCAAATCTTCTCTTCGCACAGTCCTTTCATCTTAACTGAAAGCAACTCCATCCTTCCAGCTGCTAAGGCCAAAAAGCTCATCATCCTTAACTCTTCATTCTCACACACCACGTGAGCTCCATTGGGGAATCCTGTTGGTTCTACTTCACAAGGGATCCAGAATCCCATCACCCTCACCTTTAGTAGCCCCCACTCCAGTTCTAGGCCACCATTTTCTCTCCCTGGATAGGTGACAGCTGGTCTCCCTGCTTCCATTATTGCCCCCTCTGGACTCTTCTCAACACAACGGCAGAGGAGCTGTGCTAAAAACTTTGTCAGACCATTCTAGTCCTTGGCTCAGCGACTTCCTCCATCTTTCAAATGAAGGCTGCAGTCCTTTTGGTGTTGCACAGGTCTGCCCACCTACACCACCTCTGTCCTCATCGCCTTACGCTCTCTCTTGCTCCCTCTATTTCAGCAACACTGGCAGCTCTTCTGCCTGGGATGTTCTCTCCCCAGATATATGCATGAATCGCTCTCTCTACTTTCAAGTCTTTGCTCAAATGTCACCTTCTCAATAAGACCTACGCTGACACCCCATTTAAAATTTCAAAAAGCCTCTACTCCTACCAGATATATATGCTATTGTTCCATAGCATTTACCAGATTCTATGATACGATTCTATAAAATTTTCATATGTCCATTATTTATTGTCTGTCTCCTTTCAGCTCATGCCTATACCCAAGTGCCTAGAACAGTGCCTGGTACAAAGTAAATGCTCGATAAATTTTTGTGGAATAAATGGATGACTCTTTCCTAACACTGGGGATATGTGGAGCCCCAGGGGATCACCTGCTGCCAATTACCCTACCATTTCTACCCCCAGCGCTCATCAATCCCAGGGAATACAGGGGCCCCTAATCAAGAAAGGCGAAAAGCAGCCCTCCTTGAGAGAGTCTAGCTCTCCCTGCCACAAATGGGGAGGCCCATCTCCCAGCCCAGAGAGGTTCCTCTGGGGCTAGCAGGGCAGAGACCAAGTGCTCAGGGAAAAGACAATTTCAAGACATAGGAGTTTCAGTAGCTTCTTGGGACAACCTGGAGACAGAGTGACCCTGATGTCAGAGAAATAGAAGAACCTCAAGCACAAGCCTAGGAAACATAACCAGCTGCCCCCTCTGGGCCACCTTGACAGATCGAGTCTCCTTCAGCCACACCAGGCCCATTCCTGGTGACCCTGTGGGTCCTATCTCAGATCACTGTGTAACCTCTGAGTCTGGGTTTCCTTACAGGTAGCTCAGAATTAAATCACACAGTGGAAGGTAAAGACCTTGGTTAGTTGTAAAAGATTGGGCCCAGATCCTCAAGTAGGAGCTTCCCCCGGCGGCTCAGCCTCCTGTGAGCACTGCCAAGTCCTTCTCACCCAAGGTGATAGAGTTTGAGACCTGTGGATCCACAAAGGTAGTGCCTAGAGAGAAAAGATGAGAAAGAAGGTGGAAGGGTACAGACTACAGGCAAGAAAGTTCAACAATCAAGGGGCCTGGCCCCCAAAGGCCTGTGGGGTCATCACAGTCTGGGCCAGGCCCACGTCAAGCCTTGATCCCCGAGTTCAAATGAAAATCATGTGTACAGCTGCCATGCCCTGTCAAGAGCAGGACCTTAGGATCCATGGCAGAAAGGGCAGACAGACCTCCTGCCTCAAGAGGAGAAAGGTGGGGGAGGAGCTGCTCCAGCAGGAAACACTAAACAGAGGAGGAACAATACAGGGTTTCTTTGGTCCCTGTTTTCTTTGGCCTCTTAGCTGCCATGGAGCCCAGAATACACTTCTCTAAATCCTGGGCTTTCCTCCGGGACCCTCCCCTTAGCCCCTGCCTGACAGATTGCCAGAGAAGCACCCATTCTCTTCCTCTACTGCACCTTCCACCTTAGCTCCACAGACCCTTGAGTGGGCTTTTAAATTATAGTCACATCATAAGGAAACTTTACTTAGCCTTACCCAGGCCAGGCACCTGGCTAAGTGCTTCCTAAGGACACATTATAGTGGTGGTGGTGGGTTCTTTACTGCAGCTCCTCTTTTGGGATCTTAGGGGTGGTTCCCCGCCCCTCCTCCAAGCCCTAGAGGGCCCTCCAGCCTCATTCCCCACATGCCTAACCGGGGGATGGGAAGAGGGAGGGGTGGGAGAGCAGCTGAGAGCTCAGAGAGAAAGAGCAAGGACGGGAGGAGGGGAGGAAACTGGAAAAAAGTGTCACCCAGTCCAGGGGTAAGAGGACTGGACTTTAGGGGCACTGAAAAAGACAGACATGGAAAATGAGGTAGAGACAAACAGAAACAAAGAAAGTCACAGAAATTGATAGACAGAGGAAAGGTGAAATAGAGAGGAGATGGAGACAGAGATAAAGAGACAGAGAGAGACGAAGGCTAAGACTGTAAAAAGAAGGGATAAAAACAGAAATGGAGAGAGAGAGAGAGAGACAGCGATAGTGAAGAGAAAGACAAAAAAAGTCTGAGAGAGCGGGAGGGAGACAGGGAGAGGGAGGGGGAGAGGGAGAGGGAGCGAGAGAGAGAGAGAGAGAGAGAGAGAGAGAGAGAGACAGGGAGAAAGAGAGACAGGGAGAGTGAAGAGAAAGACAAAAAAAAAGTCTGAAAAAGAGAGACAGGGTTTGGAGAAACAAGAAGTCTGAAAAAAAAAGTCTGAAAAAGAGAGACAGGGTTTGGAGAAAAAGAGAGACAGGGAAGGAGAAAGACAGAGAGGCAGAGAGCTTGCTATAGGAATAGAAATCAAGACCGAGTGAGAGTTTGAAGGAAGAGGAGACTAAAGAAACTGGGAGGAGGGGGAGAAGCAGGAGACGCAGAAGGAAACCCTGAGATTTAGCGTGGAGG